ATACATGTCTTTCTCTGTTTGACTTATTTCACTCAACATAATACCCTCCAGTTCCATCCACGTCGTTGCAAATTGGCCCCCTCTCTTACTGCTCTTGCCAGGCTCAGGAATGCTGAACCAAACCCCTAGCCCCTGCAGCCAGCCGACCAGCCTGGTCTTTGGACAGGGAGAAGAAGGGCATTCATACTGAGGGGATCCAGAATCTCTCACCGTGAGGAGTTGTTTTTCCTGAACTCCCCGGATCTAAAAGCAGAGCCTCCCAAAAGAAGTCAGCTGTCAAAAATCCCCTCCCCAGGAGTTGTGCAACCAAGGAAGATGGACTCTTCACTGGAGAGAAGTCTGCATTGGGATAAGAAATTGCATAAAGCAAACAAACAAACAAAAACAAACCAAAAAAGAAATCACATAAACAGATACTGTCACAAGATTACCATACTTCCTATTTTCCTAAGGGTCCATTTATCTTCCCTAAAATCTACTTGTTTTCCTGTAAATCCCCTTTCCCCCTCCCCTTCCCCTATTAGGATGGTATAAAAGCCCCAAATTCTAACTACCTCCTTGAATCACATTTTTCTGTGAACGCACATGCATGTATGTGAATTAAAAAATCTGTCTTTTCTTTTGCAAATCCTTGTTTTGCCAGTTTAATTTGCATGTTCCCAAGAACTGGTTTTCTTCCAGACAGTGCCGAGTTTGATCTGGAAGGAGATACACTGATGGTGCCATTTTTCAGATAGAAGGGGATTAGCTCACCCTGACCATTTGTTGGCAGTCAGGATGGATTTATGCTAATTTTTCTTCCACCTGGTCACTGTACATCTGAGGACTCTATAATCTCTGCAAGTGAGTTTCTTTCACACAAAGCTAACAGATACTGGAACCTACTCCCTCAGTCTCCTCAACATGCTTCCCGCTGAAAGGCCTGCTGGGACAATCCACTGCCTCCAAACTGTGGGTCGGCTGGTCTTAGGGGACAGAGTGGGCGCTTACTCAGGGGAATTCACCGTGGTCTGAAGGACAACCCTTAGTTCTGGGGGCCAGAGAGGATCCCATTTGGCAAGACTGACTCACAGTAATCAAACTCACCAAGCACTGATATAAAAACCAGAGTGCTATCTTCCTATTTTGCGGAGAAGCCTGTCTGGCCCACAAGATGCTTCCACTGGCAGGTCTGGACAGTCTCTCTCCCGCTGTTGTGAGTCTGGCAGGAAACCATACTATGCTGCGATTTCTGGTTGAGGCTGGGATCTACTGGTGTATCTCAGTGGCCCAGAGCGATGAAAGTGTCAGATGTCCGTGAGAAGCCCCCTGCCCGATATGTGGTTTGTTAGGAGAAAGCACTTGTTCCTCACCTCAAAGCTGATTTCAGAGAATGACATGTGAACACCTATAAACTTGGAAGTGCTCTCAGTGTGGGGATAGGACAGGCCATCTGCCCAGCCCACCCCCAGGCCTCTGAGCATCTTTCTGAGGTGTCCCCAGCCAGTGGCTGCTGGCCTGCCTGACATATCTGGTAAGAGATGCTGGAGGGCAGAGCTGCTTGTTGCTGGAGATTTCCATATTAGGAGAGTGACATTTATTATAAAGAGCTCCGAGCTCGGCTTGGGAAGACAAGGCTAACCTCTGGATAGACAGTGATCTTGGCACCCTAACACCCAGATTTGGGGACACCACAAAGAGTCTTCTACCCAAAGAACAACCCACCTCTGACCCCCCTGCCCCAAATTTACCATGTAGTCATTTTTGGAGTTAAGGTACGATGGTCCCGCAAGGCCCCTTTTGAATTGCAAATCCACCTAAAGAGGAATACAGAACTATTTAACCCAGGATCCTTGGACTTTTGTAGGTGGGTAAATGAATTCTAGAACTACCCTGAAATTTCTGGCTATGTCTGGGTACTCCTGTTCCTATGGAAAGACATTCTTTTTCAACAGACTGCTGGGAAACGACCAGAGAAATGAAAGGGAAAGAACCAGGAGGAAACTATTTATATGTAGATACGATCAATTTGTTCAATAGAAAAGCCAGGTGCAGACCAGGGGCTTAACATCTTACGATTTAAATAAGAAAAGGCAGGGTTCCAGCTAACGCTCATTTTGGCCTTCGATGGGGCAAGCAGTTCTGGAAGGAAAGAGAAGCTGGTGACGTTTGAGGCCCGGGGACTGGGAGGGAGAGAAGCTTCTCATCAACCTTCTCCTTAAGACTTTTGACTATCGGCCCAGGTGCTCAGAACAATTGAACAACTGGTGTTTAACAATTCATTCGGCCTGATAAACTGCAGATGCTCCCGCCCCTAGCTCCCAGACCTGGCTCTGGGCTGCGCTGCTCACGGGCTCCCGGGGCCTCCTGGCGCCAGGAAAACCCCGCACATGCGCGGAGCAGCGACCCAAGGACCCCGGCAAAGGAGCAAGTGTCGAGTGCGAGCGGCACAGACGGTCCTCCAGCGAGACTTGGGGCACAGTGCGCATCTTCGCTTATAATGCCCAGAAGGACTAGAAGGACCACAAGCATCTAACCAAAGCCACTGAGACAGGGAAATGAAGAACCCCATAAAAAATCCGCTTCGTGCTCTTTTTCCTGCTTCCATTCTTGCTAGGCCTTGCACCCCCGCCCTCACTCGACACATGCCCCCTGATGCAAGTAGTGTGTGTCCTCCTTATAAAGGGCAAGGAGTTAATGATTTCTCTAGAATAGTGACATCCAAGGCAGGACCAGGTGAGAATGACCAGAGGAAGCCATCCTATGTGTATTCCAGACCACCAGCAAGGCATCTCCACGCCAAGACCCCCTGGCTCCAAGGAAGAACACCTGGGCCCTTTGTTCTCACTCGACCCTGGATGCCTAAGAAGCCCCATACACCAGACCACCTCCTCAATAAAAACCCCAAACCGCGAACACAGACGGGACTCTTTCCTTTCTGAGTCTCCCAGACACTCTGCACCTGCACTCGCTCTCTCTCTCGCCTTGGAGTAAACTCTGCTTTCACCTCCTGCTGCCTTACCTTGGATTTCTATCCTGAGAGCAGCCAGATAGCCTCTTGGCTGGTGCTGCGGGACCCCCTCTGGGACGGCAGACCCGGAGCGCCGGCGTCACCTCCGGGGTGCCATGTGGGCCACCCCCAGCAGATGGCAGCGTGTAGCCGGCCTGCTGAGGAAGCGTGCCAGCTGCGCACCGCACATGGGATTGGGGACCGGATGCCCGGAGAGAGGACTGGCAGGGTGACTCCAAGGGCAAGACGCATGGTGGGCAGGACGAAGCAGTTCCTTCATCTTTTCTGTTTCATAGAGCACTCTGGAGTCTGGCGAGGCCTTTGGACCCTTCTCAGAGTGAGATTTTTGTTTGTTTGTTTGTTTGTTTGTTTGTTTTAAAGATTTTATTTATTTGGGAGAGAGAGAATGAGAGAGAGCGAGTACATGAGAGGGAGGAGGGTCAGAGGGAGAAGCAG